TTCACGTGTAAAGCGAACGTGATAACCACTACACTACAGAAACAGCGGTATGGCTGTACTTTGCCTAAAAATGTCACGCTTTCAGTAGACATCTACTTTTCTCGTTTTTAGCAGTTGTATGAATTCTTAAAGACCCAAATTTCTGGAGGTGCAGGAAGATGTATTGCGCAGTTTCTGTAGTGTAGTGGTTATCACGTTCGCCTAACACGCGAAAGGGCTCCGGTTCAAAACCGGAAGGAAACATTAGGAATTTGATGCACTTTTAGAACATTAACGTGATTGTAGATGTTGATATGATATCAAACAAGGAAAGCGAAAACTTGCATTGACATCAGGAAAGTAACAATGAGTTTCGATCTCAAATAGCTATCAGACCCAAATGTTTCTGCCCAGTTTCGAACCGGGGACCTTTCACGTGTGAGGCAAACGTGATAACCACTACACTACAGAAACAGCTGTAGATTTGTACTTTGCCTGAAAATGTCGTACTTTCAGCAGACATCTACTTTTCTCATTTTTAGCCGCTGTATGAATTCTTAAACAACCCAAATTTCTGGAGGTGCAGGAAGCTGCATTGTGCAGTTTCTGTAGTGTTGCGGTTATCACATTCGCCTAACACGCGAAAGGGCTCCGGTTCAAAACCGGGCAGAAACATTGGGAATTTAATGCAATTTTATAACATTAATGTGATTGTAGATGTTGATATGATATCAAACAAGGAAAGCGAAAACTTGCATTGACATCAGGAAAGGATCAATAAATTCCGATCTCAAACAGCTATCAAACCCAATTGCTTCTGCCCGGTTTCGAACCAGGGACCTTTCGCGTGTAAAGCGAACTTAATAACCACTACACTACAGAAACAGCTGCGACTGTGTTCTACGCCTAAAAATCTCGTGCTTTCAGTAGACATCTAATTTTGGCGTTTTTAGCAGCTATATGAATTCTTAAAGGGGCACTTGGCAACTTTTTCAACTTAATAAACCCGTCTGGAAATCATTTGGATGGTTAAATGGTCTGTTCCGGTGTTAACGGTGACTGTCCCCGCTCCCCCCGGCGCCCCCCGGTGGAAAACCAGCCTTGCAACTTTGGGACTACCGTCCCGGTAAATTGGAAATGGGAAGTATGAGAAGCGAGAACGAGCGAGAAACACAAACTGCTTTACGGTAATTCAACGTAAACACACACGCCCCCCTCAATAACGGTTAATCACGCCGGCTATACATGTCAGTGTTCTATGATACAGTGTATAATGTATTACCCACCTCGGTAGACATCGCGCCACACGAAAAAACCCGGCAACAAATGCACATGAGCAGCGGTAGAAAGGGGGAGGAGGGTGCCGCAAGTGAGTTTTTTTTACGACAGTGTTGTGTAATATACGTCCCAGACCTGTAGGGGGAGCTCGTTGAGAAAACATGCGACCACAAAAGTGAAAACCAGCGAAGAAATGGCCAGAGTTGCCAAGTGCCCCTTTAAACGACCCAAATTTCTGGAGGTGCAGGAAGCTGCGTTGTGCAGTTTCTGTCGTGTAGTGGTTATCACCATTGCCTAATACGCGAATGGTCCCCTGTTTGAATCCGGGCAGAAACATCTGGAATTTGATACATTTTTAGAACATTAACGGGAAGGCCATTTGTACCTAGTAAATGTTGACATGATATCAAACAAGAAAATCCAAAACCTGCATTGACATCAGGAAACGATCAATGAGTTCCGATCTCAACCAGCTATCAGACCCAAATGTTTCTGCCGGTTTCGAACCTGGGAACTTTCGCATGTGAGGCAAACGTGATAACCACTACACTACAGAAACAGCAGTATGGCAGTTCTTTGCCTAAAAATGTCACGCTTTCAGTAGACATCTACTTTTCTCGTTTTTAGCAGCTGTATGAATTCTTAAATGACCCAAATTTCTGGAGGTGCAGGAAGATGTATTGTGCAGTTTCTGTAGTGTAGTGGTTATCACGTTCGGCTAACACGCGAATGGTCCCCTGTTTGAATCCGGGCAGAAACATATGGATTTTGATACATTTTTAGAATTTTTTAGAAGGGAAAGCCATTTGTATCTAGTAGATGTTGATATGATATCAAACAAGGAAAGCGAAAACTTGCCTTGACATCAGGAAAGTAACAATGAGTTCCGATCTCACCAGCTATCAGACCCAAATGTTTCTGCCCGGTTTCGAACCGGGGACCTTTCGCGTGTGAGGCGAACATGATAACCACTACACTACAGAAACAGCTGTATATTTGTACTTTGCCTGAAAATGTCGTACTTTCAGCAGACATCTACTTTTCTCATTTTTAGCAGCTGTATGAATTCTTAAACGACCCAAATTTCTGGAGGTGCAGGAAGCTGCATTGTGCAGTTTCTGTAGTGTTGCGGTTATCACGTTCGCCTAACACGCGAAAGGGCTCCGGTTCAAAACCGGGCAGAAACATTGGGAATTTAATGCAATTTTATAACATTAACGTGATTGTAGATGTTGATATGATATCAAACAAGGAAAGCGAAAACTTGCATTGACGTCTGGAAAGTAACAATGAGTTCCGATCTCAACCAGCTATCAGACCCAAATGTTTCTGCCCGGTTTCGAACCCGGGGACCTTTCTTGTTTGAGGCGAACGTGAAAACCACTACACTACAGAAACAGCGGTATGGCTGTAGTTTGCCTAAAAATGTCACGCTTTCAGTAGACATCTACTTTTCTCGTTTTTAGCAGCTGTATGAATTCTTAAATGACCCAAATTTCTGGAGGTGCAGGAAGCTGCATTGTGCAGTTTCTGTAGTGTAGTGGTTATCACGTTTGCCTAACACGCGAAAGGTTCACCGTTCGAAACCGGGCAGAAACTTCAGGATTTGATACATTTTTAGAACATTAAAGGGAAAGCCATTTGTATCTAGCAGATTTTGACACGATATCAAACAAGGAAAGCGAAAACTTGCATTGACATCAGGAAAGGATCAATAAATTCCGATCTCAAACAGCTGTCAGACCCAAATGCATCTGCCCGGTTTCGAACCAGGGACCTTTCACGTGTAAAGCGAACGTGATAACCACTACACTACAGAAACAGCGGTATGGCTGTACTTTGCCTAAAAATGTCACGCTTTCAGTAGACATCTACTTTTCTCGTTTTTAGCAGTTGTATGAATTCTTAAACGACCCAAATTTCTGGAGGTGCAGGAAGATGTATTGCGCAGTTTCTGTAGTGTAGTGGTTATCACGTTTGCCTAACACGCGAAAGGGCTCCGGTTCAAAACCGGAAGGAAACATTAGGAATTTGATGCACTTTTAGAACATTAACGTGATTGTAGATGTTGATATGATATCAAACAAGGAAAGCGAAAACTTGCATTGACATCAGGAAAGTAACAATGAGTTTCGATCTCAAATAGCTATCAGACCCAAATGCTTCTGCCCGGTTTCGAACCAGGGACGTTTCGCGCATAAAGCGAAAGATATAACCACTACACTACAGAAACAGCTGGATGGCTGTACTTTGCCTAATAATTTCGAGCTTTCAGTAGCCATCTAATTTTCTCGTTTTTAGCAGCTATATGAATTCTTAAATGACCCAAATTTCTGGAGGCGCAGGAAGCTGCGTTGTGCAGTTTCTGTAGTGTAGTGGTTATCACGTTCGGCTAACACGCGAATGGTCCCCTGTTTGAATCCGGGCAGAAACATATGGATTTTGATACATTTTTAGAATTTTTTAGAAGGGAAAGCCATTTGTATCTAGTAGATGTTGATATGATATCAAACAAGGAAAGCGAAAACTTGCCTTGACATCAGGAAAGTAACAATGAGTTCCGATCTCACCAGCTATCAGACCCAAATGTTTCTGCCCGGTTTCGAACCGGGGACCTTTCACGTGTGAGGCAAACGTGATAACCACTACACTACAGAAACAGCTGTAGATTTGTACTTTGCCTGAAAATGTCGTACTTTCAGCAGACATCTACTTTTCTCATTTTTAGCCGCTGTATGAATTCTTAAACGACCCAAATTTCTGGAGGTGCAGGAAGCTGCATTGTGCAGTTTCTGTAGTGTTGCGGTTATCACGTTCGCCTAACACGCGAAAGGCCCCCGGTTCGAAACCGGGCAGAAACTTCAGGATTTGATACATTTTTAGAACATTAAAGGGAAAGCCATTTGTATCTAGCAGATTTTGACATGATATCAAACAAGGAAAGCGAAAACTTGCATTGACATCAGGAAAGGATCAATAAATTCCGATCTCAAACAGCTATCAAACCCAAATGCTTCTGCCCGGTTTCGAACCAGGGACCTTTCGCGTGTAAAGCGAACTTGATAACCACTACACTACAGAAACAGCTGCGACTGTGTTCTACGCCTAAAAATCTCGTGCTTTCAGTAGACATCTAATTTTGGCGTTTTTAGCAGCTATATGAATTCTTAAAGGGGCACTTGGCAACTTTTTCAACTTAATAAACCCGTCTGGAAATCATTTGGATGGTTAAATGGTCTGTTCCGGTGTTAACGGTGACTGTCCCCGCTCCCCCCGGCGCCCCCCGGTGGAAAACCAGCCTTGCAACTTTGGGACTACCGTCCCGGTAAATTGGAAATGGGAAGTATCGCGAGAAGCGAGAACGAGCGAGAAACACAAACTGCTTTACGGTAATTCAACGTAAACACACACGCCCCCCTCAATAACGGTTAATCACGCCGGCTATACATGTCAGTGTTCTATGATACAGTGTATAATGTATTACCCACCTCGGTAGACATCGCGCCACACGAAAAAACCCGGCAACAAATGCACATGAGCAGCGGTAGAAAGGGGGAGGAGGGTGCCGCAAGTGAGTTTTTTTTACGACAGTGTTGTGTAATATACGTCCCAGACCTGTAGGGGGAGCTCGTTGAGAAAACATGCGACCACAAAAGTGAAATCCAGCGAAGAAATGGCCAGAGTTGCCAAGTGCCCCTTTAAACGACCCAAATTTCTGGAGGTGCAGGAAGCTGCGTTGTGCAGTTTCTGTCGTGTAGTGGTTATCACCATTGCCTAATACGCGAATGGTCCCCCTGTTTGAATCCGGGCAGAAACATCTGGAATTTGATACATTTTTAGAACATTAACGGGAAGGCCATTTGTACCTAGTAAATGTTGACATGATATCAAACAAGAAAATCCAAAACCTGCATTGACATCAGGAAACGATCAATGAGTTCCGATCTCAACCAGCTATCAGACCCAAATGTTTCTGCCGGTTTCGAACCTGGGAACTTTCGCATGTGAGGCAAACGTGATAACCACTACACTACAGAAATAGCAGTATGGCAGTTCTTTGCCTAAAAATGTCACGCTTTCAGTAGACATCTACTTTTCTCGTTTTTAGCAGCTGTATGAATTCTTAAATGACCCAAATTTCTGGAGGTGCAGGAAGATGTATTGTGCAGTTTCTGTAGTGTAGTGGTTATCACGTTCGCCTAACACGCGAAAGGTCCCTGGTTCGAAACCGGGCAGAAACAGTTGGAAATTGATGCAATTTTAGAACTTTAACGTGAAAGCAATTGGGAGATGTTGACACGATATCAAACTAGGAAAGCCAAAATCTGCATTGACATCAGGAAAGGATCAATGAGTTCCAATCTCAACCAGCTATCAGACCCAATTGTTTCTGCCCGGTTACGAACCAGGGACCTTTCGCGTGTAAAGCGAATGTGATAACCACTACACTACAGAAACAGCGGTATGGCTGTACTTTGCCTAAAAATGTCACGCTTTCAGTAGACATCTACTTTTCTCGTTTTTAGCAGTTGTATGAATTCTTAAACGACCCAAATTTCTGGAGGTGCAGGAAGATGTATTGCGCAGTTTCTGTAGTGTAGTGGTTATCACGTTCGCCTAACACGCGAAAGGGCTCTGGTTCAAAACCGGACAGAAACATTGGGAATTTGATGCACTTTTAGAACATTAACGTGATTGTAGATGTTGATATGATATCAAACAAGGAAAGCGAAAACTTGCATTGACATCAGGAAAGTAACAATGAGTTTCGATCTCAAATAGCTATCAGACCCAAATGCTTCTGCCCGGTTTCGAACCAGGGACGTTTCGCGCGTAAAGCGAATGAGATAACCACTACACTACAGAAACAGCTGGATGGCTGTACTTTGCCTAATAATTTCGAGCTTTCAGTAGCCATCTAATTTTCTCGTTTTTAGCAGCTATATGAATTCTTAAATGACCCAAATTTCTGGAGGCGCAGGAAGCTGCGTTGTGCAGTTTCTGTAGTGTAGTGGTTATCACGTTCGGCTAACACGTGAATGGTCCCCTGTTTGAATCCGGGCAGAAACATATGGATTTTGATACATTTTTAGAATTTTTTAGAAGGGAAAGCCATTTGTATCTAGTAGATGTTGATATGATATCAAACAAGGAAAGCGAAAACTTGCCTTGACATCAGGAAAGTAACAATGAGTTCCGATCTCACCAGCTATCAGACCCAAATGTTTCTGCCCGGTTTCGAACAGGGGACCTTTCGCATGTGAGGCGAACGTGATAACCACTACACTACAGCAACAGCTGTATATTTGTGCTTTGCCTGAAAATGTCGTACTTTCAGCAGACATCTACTCTTCTCATTTTTAGCAGCTGTATGAATTCTTAAACGACCCAAATTTCTGGAGGTGCAGGAAGCTGCATTGTGCAGTTTCTGTAGTGTTGCGGTTATCACGTTCGCCTAACACGCGAAAGGGCTCCGGTTCAAAACCGGGCAGAAACATTGGGAATTTAATGCAATTTTATAACATTAACGTGATTGTAGATGTTGATATGATATCAAACAAGGAAAGCGAAAACTTGCATTGACGTCAGGAAAGTAACAATGAGTTCCGATCTCAACCAGCTATCAGACCCAAATGTTTCTGCCCGGTTTCGAACCCGGGGACCTTTCTTGTTTGAGGCGAACGTGAAAACCACTACACTACAGAAACAGCGGTATGGCTGTAGTTTGCCTAAAAATGTCACGCTTTCAGTAGACATCTACTTTTCTCGTTTTTAGCAGCTGTATGAATTCTTAAATGACCCAAATTTCTGGAGGTGCAGGAAGCTGCATTGTGCAGTTTCTGTAGTGTAGTGGTTATCACGTTTGCCTAACACGCGAAAGGTTCACCGTTCGAAACCGGGCAGAAACTTCAGGATTTGATACATTTTTAGAACATTAAAGGGAAAGCCATTTGTATCTAGCAGATTTTGACACGATATCAAACAAGGAAAGCGAAAACTTGCATTGACATCAGGAAAGGATCAATAAATTCCGATCTCAAACAGCTATCAGACCCAAATGCATCTGCCCGGTTTCGAACCAGGGACCTTTCGCGTGTAAAGCGAACGTGACAACCACTACACTACAGAAACAGCGGTATGGCTGCACTTTGCCTAAAAATGTCACGCTTTCAGTAGACATCTACTTTTCTCGTATTTAGCAGTTGTATGAATTCTTAAACGACCCAAATTTCTGGAGGTGCAGGAAGATGTATTGCGCAGTTTCTGTAGTGTAGTGGTTATCACGTTCGCCTAACACGCGAAAGGGCTCCGGTTAAAAACCGGAAGGAAACATTAGGAATTTGATGCACTTTTAGAACATTAACGTGATTGTAGATGTTGATATGATATCAAACAAGGAAAGCGAAAACTTGCATTGACATCAGGAAAGTGACAATGAGTTTCGATCTCAAATAGCTATCAGACCCAAATGCTTCTGCCCGGTTTCGAACCAGGGACGTTTCGCGCGTAAAGCGAATGAGATAACCACTACACTACAGAAACAGCTGGATGGCTGTACTTTGCCTAATAATTTCGAGCTTTCAGTAGCCATCTAATTTTCTCGTTTTTAGCAGCTATATGAATTCTTAAATGACCCAAATTTCTGGAGGCGCAGGAAGCTGCGTTGTGCAGTTTCTGTAGTGTAGTGGTTATCACGTTCGGCTAACACGCGAATGGTCCCCTGTTTGAATCCGGGCAGAAACATATGGATTTTGATACATTTTTAGAATTTTTTAGAAGGGAAAGCCATTTGTATCTAGTAGATGTTGATATGATATCAAACAAGGAAAGCGAAAACTTGCCTTGACATCAGGAAAGTAACAATGAGTTCCGATCTCACCAGCTATCAGACCCAAATGTTTCTGCCCGGTTTCGAACCGGGGACCTTTCGCGCGGGAGCCGAATATAGTTAAGCTTAACTTCCCTTAACTTTTCCCATTCATTCTCTATGGTAGTTCTTATCACTACGGATGTAATATATTTTTGGCCACAAGCGGGTTTTTGGGGGCGCTGTTTCTACAGTTTGAAGAAGAGGAGGCGTGGCGAACAGAGTGAAGAAGAGGAATGACTGAACAGGTAGCTGCGGCACTCATTCATTCATCTATCTATGTATCTATCTATCTATATATATATATATATTTATCTATCCAACTATAAATCTAACCTTCTGTGTCATATAAAGATATCTATGTAGTATGAAAGGGATAATGTACAGTGAGACGGTCATTGAGAAATAAACCCCCTGGGTGATTCAAGACCCCCCGCTTCGCGTCGAACCGCGTAAACAAATCAGTAGTAGGCTAACACAAAATATAAGCATTCATAATGTAGTATTCAACGAAGCCGTGTAATACAAAAAGATGTTACCTAGTCATTATAAATGTAATTCTGTCATTTTAATTATTACTGTGTAATATGCATGGTGTTTTGCTGTGTACAGAAGATAATGAAGAAGACCATCAGGTTTTTCCCTGGAAGGATGAAGGTCTCTTTCAGGAAGGGCCCATCTGGCCATCTACGGCAGGACCCCTCTGATGAGGCCATGAGGATCAAAAATAATCCTGCGCTTCAGGACAGGTCTCCTGCTCGGAAACATGACCTTGTGAAGGTTGATGCCCTCACTGTGGTCGTTCGGCGGGGCTCCAACAGGAGCTGATGGGGGAGTATGTACTACAGTTCGGTAAATACAAGGGGAAATCATCCCGCTGGCTCCTGGAGAATGATGTTGGCTACATCATCTACCTCATCAAGAAGGTAGATGAGGAGGAGAGAGATGGACGCTTCAACCCCCAGGGACCCAGCAAGGACAGCCTTCTCTCATTTCTCGACTATGCCAGGAGCTTCCAGGAAATCGAAGACCTTCATAGGTACCTACTCTCCAGGCAGCCTGCAGCACCAGTGGCCTCAGAGGCCGACAATCTTGTTGGATTTGGAGCCAGGACCAAGGACACCTGGAGGCAGATCTGGGAGAGCAGGGCAGACGGATATGCTGCCTTCGTCTTAGGAGTCAAGTGCATCCAAAACAGCAAGATGTACAACCTGCAGCAGTACCTGCTCAAGCAGCAGAGGGCTGAGTCCTGTCCACCACCTGCAGAAGCCTCCACTACATCAGCTGCCTCCACACCTACATCTACAACAGGTGAGCTCACACAAATATGCAAACTCGTGTTGTATGTGAACATTTAATGTACTTAACACATTATTAATGTTATTGTTTAATCTCCTAGCGATGGAGGAGGATGAGGAGCTGGAGAGAGGGATGTTAAATATTTCTCCCTCTAAATTTGTCACTGAACTACGTAGGTGGATCTAATGTATAGTAATAAACAGAGGAAGTTGTAAAAAAAAAAAAAAAGTTTCTTTACACCCTCACTGTACATGATACAAGTCTAATGTTACCTGTGCTTTCAGGGCCAGCAGCAGTCCCCATAGCCACAGCTGCGTCTCCAGCAACAGGTTTTTCGCCATCAGTGTGGAAGGAGGATTCTGTTTTGACCAGAATTCACCTGCCATTACTAGTTTGTTATTTTGGCCGTGTTCTGGCCTGTTTTGATGTGTGTGTGTTCTTTTATTCTATAAAAGGTCTTACATGTCAGCGATGAGGGTGAGTGTTCACGAGTTCTCTTTCTGCATGCTTGTTGCAGTGGTGGTTCAAGGGTTTGGCATGGAAATGAACATGTGAGCAAGAGAGCAGGAATAACACTTGATTTCTTTTAACAGTGAGGAGTAAACCAACAGCTGCTGCTACACGGTCAAAGTCCAGCATCACTGCTTCTC